TTCTGGGGACCTCTCCTCCTTTATATTTTACTACTGGACAAACAAGAGTCCACAGTGTGGCCCTTCCTGGGACACAGCAGAATCCAGACAAATGGTCTTGGTCTAACACTGAAAAGTCATCGAAGCATTAGACACTGCGCTGTCGCTTTGGTTGGTCAGTCGGCACACCTTCCCTGAGACAACCAACTCTCCACGTGCCATTCCTGTTGGAGTGGCCAATCATGGTGCCCCTTCACTAAACAGACCGAGAAAACGGGGTGGTGGTCTAGGTTGAACCTATTTGGCACCAGACACCACACTCCCTAGATGCAGTGACTGGTCCTGAGAGTGGGAAGATGATCCTAGCAGGACCAACCAGTCTTCCCTGGGGGCTTTCACACAGATGTTGGAGGACAGAAACGTCTTCCTACTGAAGTTGCTAAAGAAGGTGTATGTAAGTCTTGGGCTGCTGGCAGTCACCTTTCTATAGGAAAGAACCTCCAGGAAGTACAAAACCAAGCAGAGACAAGTAGTATAGATACACAAGAGAGAATAAGGACTGACAATGCTGTTTCGACACCTGGATCTAGCCGCACCTGAAGCTAAATACCTATACTTTCTGGTTATGAGAGCCAATGCATTATCTTTTCACTGAAGTATATTTGAATTGGAATCTGTGGAAAGAAAATGAGTCTCATTGGACAAGGTCCCCACATGAGGTTTAGCTCTCTGACCACTCTACCCTCACAGTCCTGTAGAATGAGGCTCATTTGATCATAATTCCCCCTTTCTCGAGATCTCCTTGAATCCCAATGGTCAGCAAGTACCTTTTATTCCTATTGTTTTGTGCCACCTGCTAGAAGGCTAAACACACTTTCAGGTCATCATTCAAGTTGTCCATAAACATGTCAGAGTGAAAGACTGAGCCCCGTAGCACGAAGTATTCTTCTCAGGTCATCAACCCTTTGTTTTTTCCCTGGTCTTCACAGAATCCCAGATTTCCAACACTGTAAAGAACTTCAGATTCCCCACTCACCCTGCCCTAGCCTCTTGGACTCAAGTTTTTAACCTATAGAGCTGCCAGCCATGGCAGGGAGCCAGTGGCCTGTGTGGCAAATGTTTGTTGGCAACTTCCCAGCATCTGTGTTCCCACTCTCCTGCTACTAGCACCCAAATTCTATTCTTCCATTTTTGGCTATGGCTTGCTGCAATGTTTAATGAAACTTTATGGAAGGTTCTGGAATTATGAACGGGGTCTACCACACAGAGCGCAACCAATGCCCATCTCTAAAAAAAAAAAGTGTACTCATCAGGATTCTCCAGAGCAACGACCAATCGGATGGATAGGTAAGAAAGGATATAGTATGAGTACTACTCATACAACGATAGCGTCTAAAAGTTCCATGACAGGCCTTGTGTCAGTCGAAGAACCAGGGAAGCCAGTGGCATAGATCAGTCTAAGTTCAAATACCTGAGACCCTGGGGAGGCTGCTGTGCTGGCACAAGTCCTGAAGTCCAAGTGCCAGAGAACTGGAATTCCAATGCTCAAGGGCAGGACATGGACATTACAGGTCCAGGAGAAAGCCAGCAAATTTACCTTTCCTCTGCCTTTTTGTTCTGTCCAGATCTGCACTGATTGGACAGTGCCTGCCAGCACTGGGTGGGTTTTTCTTATTCTATTGATTCCAAGGCCAATCTCTTCTGAAAATACCCCCACAGACATACCTAGAAATGCTTACTAGCTCCTCTTTCCGTCATCTTTCTGTGCCGCCATAATGGTGCGCATGAACGTCCTGGCTGGTGCCCTTAAGAGCATCAACAACGCTGAAAAGAGGCAAAGGCCAGGTTCTTATTAGGCCGTGCTCCGAAGCCATTGTCCAGTTTCTGTGATAAAGCATGGCTACCTTGGCGAATTTGAAATCATTGATGACCACAGAGCTGGAAAAATTGTCGTGAACCTCACTGGCAAGTTAAACAAGTGTGGAGTGATCAGCAACTCAAAGCTCTAGAGACATGGCAGAATAATCTGCTCCCATCGCGTCAGTTTGGTTTCATTGTACTGACAGCCTCAGCTGGCATCATGGACCATGAAGCAAGATGGAAACATACAGGAGGGAGAATCCTGGGATTCTTTTCTAGGGATGTAACACACATATACAAGTAAAATGCCACACTGGACCAAAAAAAAAAAAAAAAAAAAAAGAAATGCTTTACTAGCTAGCGATCTGGGAATCCCTTAACCCAGCAGAGTTTATATAATACCTAAAATCAACCATCTTATCTCTTTTTCTCAAGTTCACCTTATGATCCCCAGAGACAGGGTTGAGAGTCCCTCTGCCAGTCTAATGTGGGCCCAGGTCCTTTTCTCTAGGTGATGGACAGCAGAAAGGCTTAACCTATTCTGTGAACACCTGACCCCAACCTCAGGGAGGGTCTTTGTCTCTGTGGGCCCGGAAGGTCAATGATACGTATCAGGACACTCTGGGTAAGGCATTGTGGCCTGAGTCCAGGGTGGGGCTCCCAGTCAGCCTTCATGGCAGCTGGCCTTTAAGTCCTGCTGCACTGCAGCTCTGCATTTTTTGCAAACTGTTGAAAAAAGAGCATGCTTAGTCCTTGGCACCCCAATTATGATCCAAGATTGGGAGGTGGTGCTCCTTTTCAAAATTTTGAGTTGTAGGGGCCGGCAGGTGGCGTGGTGAAGGGCCCTGGACTCCCATATAGCTGACCGTGGTTCAAGTCCTGGACCTGGTGGCTTGCTTTCTCACATTCTCTCTCTCTCACTCTGTCCCTCTGTGGTCAAATTTTTTTCTTTTTTTTTTTTTTGTGAGGTTTTTCCTTGAAGGCGCATGAGCTCAGC